TTTTATACACAAGGCACACCCTACTCTTGAAGGATATAGTCCTAGTTTGGCATGTCGTAGAGTTACGTGCAAGAATTTTGAAAAACCCATCAGACTTAGTGCAAACCAACTTTCTGTACCATGTAAAGTCTTGCAAAACATCATTGCCCTTGTCATTCTTCCATGAAAGATCATCGGGATGAAGTTAATAAAATCGATATCTTTATTCTTGATTCCTTTTTGGTTGTACAGAAATTGGATATTCCAACCATTGAACTTGGACATATGAAACTTGTTCATTCCACGATACACATCAAAGCCTTACCTTACGTTATGCTATTGACTAAAATCTTTAAAATACTTTGATGTATCTTTGAATGGTGAGATTTTTGTTTCAATCCATCCCGTTGACATCATCAACATTCAAACTCTCAAACGCATGGAAAATCTTCAAGGAGCAAGTTCAATGGGTGGCTCATACTAAGGGCTTTGATCCAGAGTTGGGTTCTTCAACTTTACCTTTTAAAGGAGATGAAGATGAGGTTGGCTAGCACGATGATGAAATGTACCACTTGTTTATAGCCCACCTCATGATGTTATGGGCTCTAGTGCTCTTCTTCATATCGACGGTTCCATATTTATCAAGGATCACTGTAATCTTTTGAATGGGTAGGTCGACTCACTTTTCTCTTCTATTGTAGGATTACTTCACCGAATGCTAGATCAACAAAATACACTAAGTGTTCAACAAGAGGCACTCAACACTTAACAATTGGCACTTCAAGCGCAAGGAATGCCTTCTATGCTCGATTCAACGCAAACTTTCCTCTACCTCCTCCTCGACGGTCTTAGATATTATTTATATTCTGGAACCACTTTTATCTTTCTCTAACTTCATCATGTCTTTAACTTTTGTAAGCTAATGGTTTGGCATGCTTATGCTATGAATGTGAAATCTTCTATTTTGTCTTTATAGTAATTGACATCATGTGTTTACTTAAGGGGGATTTTATCATTTCCTATGGTTGTGCTTTGTCCACAAATGTTATACCCTTTCAAAAGCCTTCATTTTTCAAAACATTCAAGTCAAAATGATCAAAAGAATATTGCGAGAAGCAAACGTTTGATTCCACCATGCGGATGTCTAGATCATTGTCCGTTTTCATAGAATGTTTTATTCATTGAAATCTATAAAGACATTCATTTTTTGCATTCATTACAAAACTTTTAAGAGCATTAAAGGGAGATACATTTGAGCAAAACTATTTGAACGTTATATTTATTGCAATTCATTGAAATGTTAGCATCTCTTGGTACTTAATTCACTTGTATCGTTTATTACGAGAGAAATTTTAATTATAAAAGTATTCTTTATATATTGAGGTCCTTTAAAAGCTCAACGGGTTGGGTCGCATATAACTCCTATAGAGTTTAATATTGTATAAGGATTAGTGCTGCTTGTTTGTAGGTCATCAAAAGTATTGTAAGGGTTTGAATTGTATCATAAGTCAATCAATATAGTGAAAAGGCTTTGCTGATGACTGAGAGCTTCATAACGGAAGATGCAAAACATTTCTTTGGATTGAATCTCTACAATTATATCGTTTGCATCATCTCTGCCATTTTATTTATCATTATTTTTATTAAGTTTATAAATTGATTAATCTATTGATTCTCAACTTACTTGAATTTAGATTAAGGCCCCATTTGGTAGCCATTTTTTTTAAATGTATTTTTCTCTCTCTTTTTTTTTAACCATACATTCTTTATTAAAATAATATTACATGTGAATCAAAAACTTTTCCTTATTTTTCAACCACACATTTCACATTAATTTGCTATTCTAAAATGCATTTTTACATAAAAATGCCTATCAAACACGCCCTAAATTTTTTGAAAAAAGTTTTAAAAGCCAATTTACTCCCCTCTTGATTTGTTATTCTTGGGCTATCAAATACTTTAAGACAATCTTATTCCTCCAAAACATACCAAAATTTATGATGCTAAGTGTTATAGTTATTGCCATTCAATTTATCACCCTTATTATTAGTTAGCAATGATATTTTTAGATGCCAAGATCTATCAAAATTTTAGAGACAATTGTACAGATGTCCATTCATGCACACATATCATTTTGTAATCATGCAAATTTAGTTTTATAATAATTCAACACTATACACGAAGTCAAAAGTTCATTAAGTTCCCAATCATTGTGCATTAACCTAATATTTCATTATAACAAAATTAATTTCAAAGTGCAAAATCATAAGTTCTAGATGAAAGTAACACCCTATCTACTAACCTTAGAACTCCCACAAAATTAAGTAATTAAGCATGTATAATGTAAATAAGATATTTCGATCATATGTAATGAAAAAAATAAATACATATATTAATCAGAAGATGTCAAGTATGTACATTCGACCGCATTATACTCTTCTATACAACCACTAGACATGAGAAGAGCATTACCTTGATATTGGACAACAATTTGATTAAGTCACCAAGGCATCACTATATATAATTATACATAAATATGAGAATTTTCTTGATATTCTAGTTTTCTTTCTTCCACTTCTTTATCAAAATCCTGATCAGATAGTTGAGGCTAGAGGAGGTAACTTATCCAAAATTTCAAATGCAATGTCCTGCCATTGGCTGGAAAGTGTTCTCATAAGATGATGCATTTTTTTCACCTCACATATATATTCTCTCAAATTCATTACTTCCAAGCACATGGCTTCTAGATGATTTTTGTATTGTACCAGGTAATGTCGTGAATCTATTTCATAATTTCGATAAGCACGTAATTTTTCCAAAAAGTTCCAACTCTCAACTCTAAGGATACTAAAAGTGTGCATAAATCTAGCTTTATTTGATTAAGCAAAAAAATGAAAACTGATTAAAATGGATTATATAACCTAATCAAGACTCTCACTACTTATGAATGTAGAAAATGTGATATTTTAAATGCTTTCAAAGTTTTTTGTTCAATTTCTAAAAAAAACCAAGAGCATATCAAAAATTAACTCACACTAGGCAAGTGCCACTTAATAAATATTCTTGATTTAAAAAAAAAAAAATTCAGAATATTTCAAGGACCAAACTACAATTTTCATAATTTCAAATAGGCCCTACACCCGACCCGGCACATCCACCAAAGTTTCTTAATTTTTTAAATTTTAAAAAAAAAATTAGCACCGTCATGCACAGATTGCACGTGTCACCCTCTTGACACCGAAATTTTATTTTATTTATTTTTTGTTTAGCCTGTTTAACTAATTTGATGTTTTGAGTTTATCTGTGCAGTCAAATTTTACAACGTCAATTTCTAAGGTCATGTTTTAGACATCAACAGATTGATCCGTGAGTGGGTGATGGAATTTTTTTATTTTATTTATTTATTTATTATTTTTTGTGGCTCATCTTCAAAAAATGTGTAGAATTTTCAGAAAATCAACCAAACTTCTGGAGGCTATGACTTCTTCATTTTATGACCAAAATTAATCATCTTTAGACCATTGAAAAGGTCTCAAGAAGATCTATCTAATCATACCAAATAAGTAGCATGTAACACAACATACAAGGAATTATGATGTTATGAAATTTCGAGTTCTTAAATTAGGGTTCCATTTTTCTCTCCAAATATAAAACCAAATACAGTGAAATTTTGCAGAGATGTTTTACATACTAACATGAACATGCACAATAAATTTCAAGAATCTATGTGAAATATTTCATAACTTGCCATTAAAGTTACTCAAACTTTAAAGAAAAATAGTATACATGCGTTTTCATTATATAAAGTCATTTTCAGCAGGTCATTAAGCAAGAAAAAACCTACTTAAGCTATGATACCAATATAAAACTTATTACCATGCTTCTGCTTGAGTTCTAAATTTTAGAACTTATTTGAAATTGCAAGAAATGAGAGGTGGAATTACTTGATTTTGGTTGCTTGTTTACAGCCCTGTCAAGCATTCATTTTTTTGGTCAGAAACTTGATCATAGTGGAAAGAGTTCAATATCCACGATCCAAGAATCAACTTTGAGATGTTAATTTGGCAAAATCAAATCACCACACTCATGCATCCTACCCAATTTTTATTTACCTGAATTTTACTTATTCAGATGCATGTTGGGAGCTTAAGTGTCGAATTTAAACTCAACCTTTAAACTAATTCTCATACCATTCGGGTAGAGTCAACCACACGGGTGACCTTAGGGATGGCAAAAAGGCTCGAGAGCTCGTGCTACTCGTGACTTGGCCTGCAAAAAGCTCGAGCCGGCTCGGGCCGAGCCCCATCTTGGGGTTCTGGGTCGAACCCGAGCCGGCTCGTGTGGCTCACGGGCCGGCTCGCCAAAAAAAAAAAATTGTTAAAAGGGAGCAAGTTGCTGTCTTTGTTTAAAGGCAGCTTAAAGGCAATTACCAGCTGCCTTTTAAAGGGGAAAAAAAAAGTGGGAAAAAATAAGCCGGCTCGACTCGGCCCATTTTGGTTCGATAAGGTCCGAGCTAGCCTCAATTTTTTGTCCGAGTGCTCTGGCAAAAAAAAAAGCCTGTCTTCAAAAAGCTCGAGCTGAGCTTGAGCCTTGATTTTCGGCTAGCGAGCTGGCTCGGCTCGTTACCATCCCTAGGTGACCTACACCAACACTGCATGTATATACTTCAGGCCATGTTTTTTGGTTTTATCAATTTTAAGTGATACAACAAACTAGGCAAGCAATGGATTTAAAAATTTATACTCTTGAGTCTTGCTTGTGTAGTGATTGTTGATCAGTGCTTTTTGTACACTTATTTTAATTTTAAAATATTGACCTTTTTTTTTTGTTCTTTTGATAAATTATAGTTTAATTTTTTGTATATTTTATTTATTAGAAGAAATTCAATGATTGGACTTGAAATTAGAAGAAAGGAGCGAAAATGGCAAAAAAGGGTAAAATTCAAAGTTTCAAGACCAAATTGTAAATATCCAATAGTTGATTTGAGCCACAAGGCGATACGAGAGGAAATTAAGAGGATAAGAAGATAAGATTGCGATATCTCACCTAATGAAGATATTGATATTTTTTTTACACCACAGCAGATTAACTGAATTTATTTTACAGTATCTTATTAAAAAAAAAAACAAAAAAACAAAAAAACTTAATGTTTTCGGACAAAATATTTTACGGTACATTTTTCAAGGCCACAACACAGATACAACAAGCCGCAATACAGAATTGGTAGGGAAAAAGAGCTTAAAAAAACTTCAGAATGATTGCCAGGTTCTCTGCAATAGCAACATATAATTAGCTTTTGAGATGATTAAAGTTCGAAAGTAGTCAATAAAAAGCATTTATTCAAAGTAAATTAATAGTGAAATAGAGAACAGGTTCTGATTTCATTAATGAATTTTTTCTTCAAATATTCATCATTTTGTATTCGCATTAAAATGGAAAAATCATACATGAAAAGAAACAAACCTTTTCATCTTATTTTTCCTGGGATATGCTTTCGTAAAATTCATTTCTGAACTTCTTTAGCCTGGTTGGAACATCTTTCATACTGGGCCTCTCCTGGGGTAATTCAACTGTGCACTCTAGTGCTAGTCCCATAATTGATTTGAAGAAGCTCTCTTTAGCTCGAACGTTTTCTTCAACTATATTCACTAGATCAGTATCGACAATCTGCATTATTGCATTCGGGAATGATTCAAACACCCATCTCCTCATAGTGAACTCTCCATCAAATATATCAGATGTTGGCTTCTTTTTGGTAAATGTTTCGATCAGTACAATCCCATAGCTGTAAACGTCTGTCGTAGTCGATATTAATCCAGTTGATCCATACTCTACAAAATTGGAACAAGTAATCATATTAACAAAGTGAAATGTTGAAAAATAGATGAATAAATGAGAATTAGAAAATGGTATCTATAACATTACGAAGAAAGCAAAATAATCCTTTGCTTTGGAAGTACTTGTGACATCAATCTACAAAAGTGCATTAACCTCTTTCATATGTTTTGTTTAACTTATTTGAATTATGAAGAAAGTGATAGAAGAAAGAAACCAAGAACAAGAATAAAAGATAAAACGCCATATAATCTAATTATTTAAAATTATTTACTGATTTATGGTGCGAAGATTAAAAATTACAAAGCTACATCATCTGACTGTCCAATTTCTGAACAATTATGGAAGCAAGAGCGATGATTTTACTCTAAATATTTTGTTAGCATAATACGTGTACAACATGACTTTATATATAAATAGATGATAGAACCTTTTACCTGGTGCCATATAACCAATGGTGCCCAACGATTTGGTCAGCGAAATCCTCTGGTCTTCCGTGAAGAGCTTGGTAATGCCAAAGTCTGCAACATGACCAACCATATCTTCATCTAAAAGTATGTTTCTGGGCTTCAAATCACAATGCACGATTGGAGAGGGAAGCCCATGATGTAGGTACTCGAGTGCAAATGCAACATCAATCATTATTTCCAATCTTTGAGCTATATCTAGGCAACAGTTGCTAGAGGACAGCCACTTGTCAAGGTCCCCATTCGGCATATATTCCAATACCAAGGCTTTGAGATCAAGATTAGAGCAACTGCTGATTACCTTGACAAGATTTCTGTGATGGATATTGTACAATATTTGACACTCATTATCAAAACTCTTTTTTGCAGCTTCTAAATCTAAATTGAAAACCTTAATAGCAACAATCATTCCATTGGAAAATATTCCCTTGTATACTGAACCAATACCGCCACTTCCAATCAGATTCTCTTCACCAAATTTATTGGTAGCATTAAGAACTTCATAATATGAAATCCTCTTGACATTGGAGGCAATGGAGGAACTAGACTCAGTTGGACGATTTGAATTTCTAGTATGACGTCTCATCAAACAAATGGTAATAATGGACAGACATACTACTAAAGCAATTGATGGTAGAACATATTTCAAAACACTGAGTGTTCTTGATGATCTAGTTGTATTACCTTTGCAACTTAGCATGACCTTGTATTGGGATGCTCCACACAATTCACTGTTGCCCATGAATGAATCTGCAGCTAAGTTCTTAAAAGGCCCTCCATTCGGAATTTCACCACTGAGTTCATTGAATGAAACATTAAAATGTACAATGTCCTTAAGTTTCTCCAATGACTTGGGGATTACACCAGATAGATTATTTTCGGATAGATCCAAATATTGCAAAGAAATCAAATTAGCAAAGGACTCGGGTATTGGACCAAGTAATTGATTGTTTGATAATGTTAGATTTACTAAGCTCTGAAGTTGTCCAATAGTCATTGGAATCTTCCCTGAGAACTGATTTCTTGATAGATATAACACTCTCATGTTCTTCAAGTTGCCAATTTCTGGAGCTAGCGAACCATTTAGCAAATTATCAGATAAGCTCAGAATTTCAATTTCCATGTTATTCCACAGTGTTGATGGAATAGTTGAATTCAATGAGTTGTAAGCTAAATAAAGTTCTCGTAAAGAAGTAAGATTCCCTAAACAAATTGGTAGCTGTTGAGAGAGCATATTATTTTCCAAATTCAGGTAATAAAGATTTGCCAAACTGCAAAGGTTGTCAGGAATTGACCCCAGCAGTTCATTTTCATACAGATCCAATTTCTGCAACTTCATCATTGGAATCAAAGAGTCAAGAATCGTTCCTTTCAACTGATTACCTCCCATTCCTAACAAAATCAAGTTGCTCATATTGCCTATTTCCCTCGGGATCGTACCTTTGATGCCACAAGAATAGGCATGGAATTCTTCAAGAGATTCTGACAAATTACCCATGACTTTTGGCAGCATTCCATCAAATGAATTGTTACTAATCCATAGGATCTTCAAGTGTCTACAATTTTTCAATGAAAGAAGAAAATCCAATTCTAGAATTGAAGGATCATTTGTCAACTGATTATCACCTAAGCCTAGCTTCTCTAGGTCCCGTAGATCCCCAAGATTCATGGGTACCCGTCCACTGAATAAGTTCGCAGAAATATCCAATAAAGCAAGCATCGAAAAATTTGAGACATAGACGGGAATTTCTCCACTTAATCTATTATCAGAAAGATAGAGACCTTTGAGTCGAGGGAGCCCATTGCCTATTGATGATGGGAGATTGCCAGAGATTTTATTGTATCCTAAAGCAAGGGATTGTAGCATGGATAGATTGAAGATTGATTTAGGTATTTCACCTTCAAGCCTGTTCTGGGACGAAGATAACACTTCTAAATTGGATAGATGTCCCAATTCTTGTGGGATATGTCCATGAATATGGTTGTAAATCATATACAATTCCTTCAAATTTGATAAACTGCCAACTGAGTATGGAATTGTACCTGTAAATGTGGAGTTTGTCGACAAAAACAAACGAGTACCAGAAGTAGTAGATAGGTATCTGCTATTATGTACTAAAAATGCAAATATTGAAGCATTGATAAGTTTCTAATTTAACAAAACAAATACTCCACGAAATTTCATTTTACAATTGTTTGCTAAAATAACAATGATTTTTGGGTGATAAATGAATGAATAATTCAAATATTAAAGTTTCAAATGAAATTCTATGGTATGATGCATTTCAATTATTTTATTGCGAAACACATTTATCAAGAAAGTGTAAAATTCCCACGAGATCACCTAAAGATAATTCAGTTGTGCTACTTGCATAGGCCCATTTGCACAGGGCCTATACAGGGACTGTCACATGGAAGTGGATCCCACACTTGGACCCCATGGGTCCCGATGCAAATGTATCTGTCAGGAATATGGATGGCAAAAAAACTCATTAAACCCGATACTCGCGGGCCCCAACCCAAACGGGGCGAATAATACCAGCATAACGGGGTAACGGGGTCGGGTATGGGATGGGATACTTCTACTTGACTCGAGTATGGGGTGGGGATGGGTAACAAAGCACCCGCCCTGTATAATCTTTAAAAGGGGAATTAATTGTCCAAATGGTCATTGAACTTTACAAAAGGTTTTTAGGGAGTTGCTGAACTTTAAAAATCACTTAAATGGTCACTGAACTTTGCAAAAAGTCTCTACGGAGTCACTGAACTTTATAAATCATCTAAATGGTCACTGAACTTTGCAAAATATTTCCTAGGGGTCACTGAATTCAGTGATCTCGTGAAAGTCTTTTGCAAAGTTCAGTGACCATTTAGATGATTTTTAAAGTTCAGTGACTCCGTATAAACTTTTTGCAATGTTTAGTGATCATTTAGATAATTTATAAAGTTTAGTGAGTATTTGGACAATTCACTATTTAAAAAGGTTAAGTTGCCAACTTCCAAGCCCAAGCCCAAGCCCAACCCCAACGTGAATTATGACTTCCAAAGCGGCCCACTTCCTATACTCTTCCCAGCAGAGCAGTAACAATAAAGAACCACAGCCCACTTCCTACACTCTTTCCAACAAGGCAGTAAATAAATAACCACAGCCCATGTAACCACATTACCCATCATTAAGATTTAGGATTTTAGAAGTTAGAATTGGGGGTGAGGGTAACGGGTTGTTGTGTTACCGTCTCTTCCTCACGCCGTCGAGTTCTTGACTTCTTGTTCACACTCACAATCTCAATCTCTCTCTCCATCTCTTAAATCTTAAGCCTAAAGACCCAAGGTAATTTGACAATCTCTCAAACCCTTCATCTTCTCTAGTCTCCATGCTATCTTCTATATGTTTTGCTACAATAAATTTTTTGCATGGAATTTTATGGCATTTTATTTTGTCTTATACAATTTTATATTTTGATTAATTTCTATTTTTAACCATTTGAGTTTATGTCTTATACAGTTATACAAAGCTTCATTAACATGTTATAAAGATTGAACCTGTGAAGTCCAGAGATCTTCTTTTTATAAACTACTAAATATACAAACTATGGAAATCCGTTTACTCTGGAGTATTACCTTTCAGGGTCTTTCCAACTTGCTTTTACAGGTGAAGGTGAATCACTTGTGTACTCATTATTGTCACTTGTCAAAAACGCAGACACGGCTGGGGTACTCGAGAGGAGCACGTGCCTCTGCCTGTTCCTTTTCACACACCATCCATTTGGATTAAAAATTGAAATAAAAAGGGGCAATAAACGAGTAGGACCTTGCCCCGCCCCGCTCCCGACCCGTCCCCGACTTAAACGGGTATGGGGCGGGCATGGGGTGGAAAACTATCTAGTGGGGCGGGGTGTGGGGAAGGGTGCCCCGATCCATACCCACCCCATTGTCATCCCTTGTCAGGGAGCCTTTTTCAAGATAATTCAAAGCATGTTTTGATGGAGATTTTTAAGAATGGATTATATGAATGGTAATATTTTTGAAGAATATGAGTTAAAAGTGGGAGAAATCTATAGGTATACTTGTAAAATTATTTTATTGGAAAAATCTATCGTTGAAAACAAGTTTCGGAAAAAATAGTTTTAAGGCTTAGATTTCCTAGGTGATAGATCGCCTAAAGGTAATTTAGATTTCCATTCAACATAAAAATCTTTGTTATATATATACAGATCTAGAAGAGTAAGATCTTTGAAACCTAGATCAAGATGAAGACGATCCTTTGAAAATCATCTTAACATTTTCATCAGGAGACGTAATGTTTTGATTAGAAGTAGTTTGAACGAAAGCAGGAATAGGATTTTGAGCATTCTCAAAATTTCATTCAAGTCCTCTAGATTGAAGATTCCAAAATATTTTCTTAGGAATTATAGTATTGGAATGAAAGGGATTGACTTCTTTCATCAACAGTAAGATATTTGAACCACCAATTATTTAATTGGCAAGAAAAACCAATGGTAATATTGTTTGTAGCTTCAAAAGGAATATCATTTTGAGTAAGATAAGAATTGTAATAAATACTCATTCTTTCAATAAATTGAATAATTTGATATTCAGATAGACCATCAAGGTTCCATTCTATAATACCAACGACATCAAATGTAACTAGTTTTGACTCTTTTCTTCAAAGACTAGATCATGAAGAGTATGTCTTGGATGATATGCAAGAATTTTTGAATATCGATTATTTTGACCTCGTAATTTATTGACACGAGGAATTTCATCATCAGTAAATTAAGATTCACTTTCATTAATAGTATTCATATTATTCGAAGTGGGGGGAGAAGATAATTTGGACAACTGAGTAGCAAGTTCTTTAAGAACATTAACCTTAGTTCTAGATTCAGGAATAACTTCATGAAATCTAACTAAAGTTGGATCAATAGGTTTTTGGAAGATTTTGAGGAGGTAGATACCTCGGAATCAAAATTTATTTCAATTCTGTTGAGTTGAGAACATACAGATTAAAGAATAGCATTGGTACAGTTATTTTGAGCTTGAATATTTTTTTATATTTTTAGCAACAACTCTAGAATCATCTGGTCATTCTATAGATATCTTCTTGAGAGGAGAAGCAAGAATTTCAATATTTTCATGCGATACAACAATTTCTTGCATAGAAGAATGTAAAGGTTGAATAGTATCACCTAAAGGTGTTTTCCAAGTCCTTTTTTTGAAGTATTTGTATTTTGAACAATTTTTGTTTTAGTGGTTTTTTGTTATAAACTTTGAAATAAGCTCACGCATAAAAGCTAAAATCTTCAAGGAATTTATAAAATTCTTTCCAATAAGATTCAATTTCTTCTTTTGAAAAACTTTTTTCAAAGAATTTTTCTAAAACTTTTGACTTCAATAGACTGATCATTTTAAAATTCTTTTCTACTGTCAATAGTAGAAGAAATATGTCTTTCAGAAGGAGAAGGTAGCATATCAGATAAAGTTGGTGAACCAGGTTGTTCTCCATCATATTGAAGTTTTGGAATATTTCGATTAAAATTAACACCTATATATATATATATATATATATATATATATATAATATGTGTATGTGTGCGCGTGTGTGTGCGCTGACTAACTGGAAGATGTACGTACCGTTTAGCCTATTGTAACTCAAATTCAATACTGCAAGGGCTGATAGGTTTCCAATTTCGTTCGGAATACCGCCTGTTATTCCATTTAAACATATATATTTCAATATAACAAGTATCAAAACAATGTTATATAGATTTAATAAAAGAAAAGAAGTACCAACTAAATATGCCTTGTTTGGTAACATTCTGATTCTTGTAGAAGAGCCCCAAAAGGAAGACGAATCACTCACACAAAACTATCTAAATAGATCCAAAAGTGGCCTTTTAATTACAAAAGCAATTATCGCTTTTCAAAAGCCTTCCTAACGGGCCCTTAGAAGTTGATAATTAGGTATATGTGAAGTCATTGTGTCTCAAATTTAAAAATTGTATGTGTATGTGTGCGCGTGTGTGTGCGCTGACTAACTGGAAGATGTACGTACCGTTTAGCCTATTGTAACTCAAATTCAATACTGCAAGGGCTGATAGGTTTCCAATTTCGTTCGGAATACTGCCTGTTATTCCATTTAAACATATAGATTTCAATATAACAGGTATCAAAATAATGTTATATAGATTTAATAAAAGAAAAGAAGTACCAACTAAATATGCCTTGTTTGGTAACATTCTGATTCTTGTAGAAGAGCCCCAAAAGGAAGACGAATCACTCACACAAAACTATCTAAATAGATCCAAAAGTGGCCTTTTAATTACAAAAGCAATTATCGCTTTTCAAAAGCCTTCCTAACGGGCCCTTAGAAGTTGATAATTAGGTATATGTGAAGTCATTGTGTCTCAAATTTAAAAATTGATGTGCTGATAAGTCTCAAATTCCATTTGGAATACTCCCTGTATTGCCATAGACATTAAGATTATGAAGTGCATGACACTGCAGTAGACTTGGAGATATCTCCCCCATGAAATTTGTTGTGACTAAGGTCTAAGATCTCAAGCTTGCAGGTTGGTTACATGGATCTTCGGGGAACTTTCCAGAAATTTCATTTTCTCCAATCCTCATATTCAGTAAAGAAGAGGTATTGAAGATGGTTGATGGAAAGTTGCCGAAACATGTCTTTAAGTTACATAATTTCACACACAATTTCCTTAAAATCAATTATTAACCCTTGTTGGAGCCCCATATTATTTGGAAAAAAAAAAATGACTTAGGAATATTGATTTTTTAGAGAATGTGTAGTTGAAAAGTATGAAAAAGTTTTAGGTTTATGTGTAAAATTATTTTATTAAAAGAATATGTGGTTGAAAATAAGTTTGGCAAAAAATGTATTTCTGAAAAATAGGGATCAAATAGGGGCAGAATATTATTAGAGAGTTTTAACTCCATATGGTTATCATGCCTTCTGCTAAAATCTTGACAATATATGCCATTAAAATATGCATTTTTATCCATCACAAGACTCCATGAGCATCAACATATACGCAAGTAATAAATATTTATGATGTAGAGGGACACAATCTTTCGTCAATTTTCACAACTTTTGGAAGACATAATTAAAATTATTGGTAGATGAGTGTACATGGCAAGAGCATTAAACGTACCTGTCAAATTATTTTTTGCTAGAATGAGAAATTCAAGCTTTGACAAATTTCCAATTTCCATTGGAATGTTTCCTGTAAACAGATTGGCCGCCATAGAAAGTAGTTTGATATTCGTGCATGTTCCCAAACTTGGAGGAATGTTGCCACTTATTTGATTCGTTGAAATTATTAGCATCTCTAACTTTGGAAGACTATAGCAGATATCCATCGGAAGACTGCCGGAGAGACAATTGATTGCAAAATCAATTTCTATCAAAGAAGAGATGTTGAAAATCCGGTTAGGAATATTCCCGCTGAGTCTGTTATTTGAGACATTTAACTTCTGTAGATTGTCAAGAAATCCAAAACTTGATGGAATAGAACCAATTAGCTCGTTGTCCTGAATCTCTATTTCTCGAAGTTGGCTTAAATTACCCATTTCATCAGGGATAGTACCGCGAAAATTATTATTGCTAGCAACCAAGGATCTTAAAGAAGAGAGTTCACCTATTTCTTTAGCTATGGTACCTCCTAGACCCATATTTGCTAGATTTAAGCCCGTCACTCTTTGGTACCTCCCATCGCAAGTAACACCAATCCAATTACAGAAAGAGGTTCCTTGAGACCAGTTCTTGGCTAAGATTTTATTTGGATCAGAAGTTATTTGAAATTTGAAAGCTAGAAGAGCATACTCATCAGTGGAGCTATTGAGAGATTCAATAGCACACATAAACAAGTAAAGCATTGTCGTTAACATAAAGATCACATTCTTTCCCATGGCTAATTTGAAATGTATAAACAAGGTTGAAAGGGAGTCTTAAATAAGGTGTTTGATATAGGTGTTTAAATAAATATGAAATAAGAGTATATACAAGGGTACAACGTAATTTATGGTCAAGAATTGCTTGGGATTTTATCTTGAGTGGCGCTCATTGCTTTAGTATGGGCCCCGCTTCTTGTATTTGCTGGACTCAGGCTGTCAAAGTTTTCCTAATTTGGACGTTGTTCCATGGATCCCTTCGTCCACTTCTTTGCATACAATGTACAAAAAGGAGGCAACATTAGAAAAAACTCGCTGGCCTGACACTTTTGGAGATGATTTGAAGGTCCAAGTCAAAGGGAAATGTAAACTTCTAATTCAAACGAAGAATCGAGAGAATAAGTATGTTTCTAATGTCTACTATGTTCCTTTAATGAAAACAAATATTTTGAATTTGGGCCAACATTTAAAGAAGGGACATGACATTCGAATAAGAAACAAGGGACATGGCATTTGAATAAGAAAACCGCAATGATAATTTGAGATTGAAGTCAAAACTTGATTAGAGTTCTAGTGATAAAGAATCAAATGTTCTTGTTGAACTTTCAAAATGGAGAAGTTAAGATGCATGTGTCAAATATTCAAAATGTCTATAAAATTTGAGATTTGAACATCTAAATTTTGGCAGTTTATATCTTTAGGAAAGAAAGAAGGAACATTGTGATGAGGCTACCATGTATTCATCATCCAAAAACATGGGTTGATTTTCCTAGAGAAAATCATGATGTTTTAGAGGTTTTAAATAATTTTAAGGCGTTGGTTGAAAATATAAGTTGTAACTAGTAAAATTAGATCATGGTGGTGAATATGTTGGAAGAATACTTAAGCAGTTTTCTGAAGAACATGACACTCATCATTCTCTGATTCAACAAAATAAAGTAGCAAGGATGAAGAGTATGATTGATATGAATATAAATCAAAGTATGTTAAAGACCAAAAACATGCCAAATGAATTCTGGGCTAAAGCTGTTCAATGTGTAGTGCATTCCAACCAAAAGTGGGAGAACATGGTAAGTGTAAATATTATAATTATCTTGGCCTTCGAAACATGACAGTTGAGAGTAATTTTATGAGCAAGATACTTAAATTTATATATTTATTAAATTAGGAGAAAACTCGATAATGTATGGATGAAAAGGGACAATAATTGAGCAAAAATGATTAAAGTTGGATATATTCTGGAAGTTGGTACCCAAGGAGTCGTGTTTGGAAGTTAAAGGACCTCAATTGTAATATCTAACTTCTCAATTCGAAAAAGAAAGAGGAATTTGGGATATTCTAATTTGACAATAATATGTTTCCCTATCATCTTGGGAGTCTTTTATAGACCTAACTGAGGTCTATAAATAGAAGTCATTCATTCATTTAAACAAAAGGGAAGACTAAAGATACAATTTTGAGGCAAAATTACACATCAAAATACATTAAATTCTTAAGATTTGTATCTCAATTTGGGAAGTGAAGGTTGAAGAGCGCAATTGATCAGGTAGATATATAAGCTTTAAAGAGGAGATTGATGATCCATTGTTACGAATTGGGTACAAAAGAATGACAATTGTTTGGATTTTTTCAGATTGTTACTTGTATTGAACCCAATAGGAGAATTATTTGTCTAGTTCATGCAATAAGCAATATATATTTTGTTAAGAGAATTGAGAGATACCCTTATAGTCTATGCAATCTTAATTGAATTCCTGTGGATTATAGGGTTAGTTTTGCTCTAGAGATATTACTAACTAAAATTGCTTAATTTGATTGATAATACAAATAAAAAAGTGTTGAGTGTTGTTGGATTGAATGAATACTAAATATCTTAAGTAAAATCGGAATTTCTAACCAGTTAATTCGAAAAGTTCTCCACAAATTCTTTAAGCTTCGCTAAATTAGATTAGTTTGGTATAATTTAGTTAGATAAGAACTCTTGAATTGTTAATTGGTCATCAAATTAGGGTAGGATAAATTAAAAAAATAAAAATAAATTGATAGTAAATACTTAATCTTTATGGGATGATATTTAGACTTAAAATTTTACTTTATTACTTGTCACGAGTGTGTACTTGTAAAATCACACTACAAGAACCTGACTCCATGGGAAGCTTGGAGTGATTCAAACCAAGTGTGTTGTCCCTTTCGATTTTCGAGTGCATTTCTAAGTTCCATGTTCCAAAAAAAAAAAAAAATGGATGACAAGAGTGTGAAATTATAATTATTCACTATGACTCAAGTTTCATACAGGCTCTAAAATCCAATAAATGTGAAGATAATCACTAATAGAGATGTCTAATTTGATGAAGAAAGTATTTGGATTGGCAAGGTCTACAAGGTAAAAATTATATTTTTATCCTTTTGATGATGATACGGAACAAGTTGGAGTGGTTTAACCTCAACTAACATAATAACGACTATATCACCAGGTCATGATCAAGAGACGCCTTTACTTTTATCATCTTTAACTAATGGGGCACACAATTACATAGGTATTCAGGGGATTATGATGATATTAAAGAGTTAACATCTTGAAGAATGATCCTTTCTACCTATTTGTAGAAAGTAATGCTATTCATCATTATCATTATGATGGAACAGCGGTGATGTGGTGACATACATGGGGTAATGGGATTGGATGGTTTAATTTACATGAGAGAGAAAAAATTAAACCACCCAATCCCATTACCCCATGTATATTGCCACATCACCGCCGTTCCATCATCATAATGAAAAACAACATTATTCATTTGGAGATTATGCAATTTTTGGTTATTAAGATGTAATTCGAGATAATAAAGGGAAGAAATCCATGCATAAAAAATTAAAACCATAAAAAGAATGAAACTTGGGCGTCATCTACACTTCACAATAATCATGAGTCTATCGAAGAGGAGTGAATATTAAAGAAAATAAGTAAGCAATTTAAACACTATTGTCTCTGTCATACAATCATCTCCTTCCACATACCTTTTTGGCACTACTTCTAGACATTTTCTTCTAGCAAAGTCGCTTTTCCCATATATTTATAAGAACTTTGTACATATTTTCAAAATTTCCAAAAATCATATTTATATAATGTAGCTGGTACTGTATTTTAAATCTTATCTAAATCTTTATTAGATAAAATAATTTTTGACTTTTTGTACTAATGAAGTCATTTAAAAGTGTGGTAATTTGATACAAATTCTTGTGGGAATAGGAGTCAAAATTGAAGTGGTCTTGAAGAGATCATAAAAATAGATTGGGAGGAAAATCCGTCGCAATTTTTCTAGCTGGACGCTCGACCGTTTGGAGCAGAACAATCTTCATTCGCTTCTCGCTGGCTTGCCGCTCAAGTGATATCAATGTCCTTCGCTACCGCTCAACGTAGCTCGAGCTACAATGTTATCTGGGCAATTTCAAATTTTGGGTATTAATGCAGGACTTCTATTCATCTACAACTTGGTTTCTTGAGTTTCCTATGTATACAACTCGTCATTTATTATTGTCGTGACTTCGAGAGATTGTTAGAGAACAATTATACAACATCTCGAGAGCTTTAGATTTCAATTAAGTGCATTCAGATTTTGATATTGTATTTCCTATTGGTTATAGTGAGTTTTCTCTTCCTCTGCCATGGTTTTTTCCTGAATTAGGTTTTCACATAAATCTCTATGTTATTTATTTTTCTATTCTATTTCATTACTGTCATAGCTTGCAATCCGTATTTATAAAAAGTGGCATTAGAACGTAAGGTTGATTTCCGTATGGCAACAATGAAGTATGATATTCTGATGTTGAATCGAAACACGCGGTTTAGATTATGGCAAGCAAAGATGAGAGCAAGTCTTGCGCAGATGGATTTAGAGAAAGCCTTGCTTGGCTTTGATAAGATGCCTTCTACTTGGATGTAGGAAGAAAAGTAGCGTAGGGATAGGAAAGCCCTGACTCAGATTCATCATCATCTTTCAAATCAAATTCCTCAGGACGTTTTAAAAGAAAGAAGTGCCACTGTGTTGTGGTTGAAGTTGAAGCAGTTTTGTATGACAAAAAGTTTGACCAGCAAGTTACACTTGAAACAACATTTTTATTCTCATAGGATGTTTGAAGGTGGTGGGTCATTGGATGATCATTTAACCTTAATCAAAGAAATCTTGGCCTATTTGGAAGCTTTGGAGGTTAAGTAGGACGAGAAGGACTTTGCATTGATGTTGCTGTATTCGTTGCTGCCATTATATGTGACTTTTAGAGATACTATTCTCTATAGTTATGATATTCTCATAGTAGAAGAGATTTATGATGTCTTACTGTCTAAGGGGAAGATGAGGCATCTTGATGAAGGATCTGAGAGTAAGGTTGAGGGCTTGGTTATTCATGGGAAAAGTCAAGATAGGAAGCTTAACAAAAATATGAGGGGCGCGTTGAAATCTAGGCATGTTGAGAAGACATGTCATTATTGTAAAAAAAGGGGCATATTAGAGCTAACTGCTTTGCCTTGAAAAATAGAAACAAAACTGCGGGTACAATGATAAGGGAAAATGCCCTATTAATTCAACAGAGGCTGACATTGTGGAAAACGAGCAAAATGAAGGAGGGCTTTTTGTGATCTTTGATATGGGATCATAACCTTATGAGGAATGGGTTTTGAATTCGGTATGTACCTTCCATATGTATCCAAATAGGGACTGGTTCACTATATATAAAGGAGTTTCGAGAGGTACAGTGATTATGGGAAACAATGCCCCTTGCAAAGTCGTCGAACTAGGTACTATTAGGATCAAGATGTTCGATGGGATTGTCAGAACACTTACAGGTGTCTGGCATGTTCTAGAACTAAAATGGAATCTTATATCTTTAAGTTCTCTTGATTCAAAGGGTTATAAGTACATTGGAGAAGGTGGAGTTCTGAAGGTGAGTTTGGGTGCTCTTGTTGTCATAAAGGGATATAAGAATTCTATACAGCTCTACATTTTGCAAGGTTCAACTGCTACAGGAGATGCAACAGTTTTTACTTCTTCTTTGATAGAAGATGAAGTTACAAAACTTTGGCACATGA